CCCCTTTCAGATTTGGAATCATGTATTTTCCACCAATTTGACTTGAGAGTGTAGACCTTTGGGATATCAGCATCATGTAGGTTGTACATTTGTTTGCTTTTCCTAAAATCATATCTAACCACCTTGAATGGGTTTTGATTTTATCTCCTGTCTCATAGAAAAGCAGAAATTCAAGGTGGCTAGGTGCTATCAATCACAGGAGGGCTAAAAGTGACGATGGCATTGCTTAGCTCCTGTTCTTGCTATTTACATTTTATTTTCTTTTACTGCATTCCGTAACAACATTTAGGCTCAATGATGCATTAATTAGTATTTTTGAATAACATATTAAGTGTTTATGTTTCTTAATTTGAGGGCTACGATCTAATAAATATGTATATACATTTTGCCATGCAACTTTTAAACCTAACAGAAATGACACATTGGAATTTTAATTGCACTTACTACAGAATCTGTTATCTTAACATAAATCATCTCAAGCATAATTTAAACCATTAGCCTGCATCAGGATCTTGTTCTATTGATTCAATCAGCCTTCTTCTATCTCTACACCGTGTTATCACATGTAACAGACGTCACTCATTACTCGGATTCATATAAATTTATTTGGCAGGACAATCAGATCATGGATGCAGATTAGTGGTAACACAAGTGAAATATATGTTAGAAATGACTGGTTTGGGGATAGTTTTTTACGTGGTAACACTTGGTCATATTGGGAAATTGCTCTCTTCCCACTTTTCAAACGTTCTCTCTCCTTTACCACTCACACAAAACTGCCCTCTCTAGCATTATGGTGGAGAAAGCACTACTGCTTTTTTAACAGAAAGCTTGTCTGTTAGGTTTAAAATTTGCATGGCAAAACGTATACAGATATGTATCAGACCGTAGCCCTTGTATTAAGAAAGCATATAAATTTAGAACATTATTGTCAATAGAATCTATTAAGAGCATAATTTTTCTATGCATTTACAACTAAAATAGAGCATTCAGATTTATTTTCAGGAAAAAATAGTGTCACATAAAAATAATGCATTTATTCATTCTTTGAATGATTTTCTTATGACAACATAGTACTAAATATTTCCTCTCTAAAGTACTATGTCAGTAAAATACTTTTAAAATTCTAAGAATTTGAGAATAAAAGTCTCATACAATTCTACATTGTTCTTATGGTACATTATGTAAACTTCATGTTTTCCTTCTGAGTTATTTTGTTTATTTTCAAATCCCACTTTTGGAATTATAAGAACCCCATTTTCAGTCAGCAAAAGGTAATTAAAGTAAATCAAACGATTTCAGTATTAGGATTTATATTTCCCCTGGATTTTAAAAATCTATAAGTAGTAAAAAAAACAAACATGATAACTGATTATTCTTAGCCATATTCCCATGAAAATAGCTGGTGTAAAATGTTTTCTCCACCATAATACTAGGAAGGGTAGGTTCGTGCGAGTGGTAAAGGAGAAAGTTTGGAAAGCGGGAAGACAGTAATTTCCCAACACGACCAAGTGTTACCATGTATAAAACTATCCCCAAACCAGTCATTTCCAACATGTATTTCACTTGAGTTAGCACTAACCTGCATCCATGATCTGATTGTTCTACAAATAAATGGACTCGACAAATATGAGCCAGACAGGGAGGCTGAGGATGAGCTTTCACTCACTCTTCCTTCATCAGAGCTGGCTGTTCTCAGAGCACGTGGCCACATGTGACAGCTGATGGGGCCTTAACATGTGGGACTGAGGTGCAGCTGAGGGTCTCATGGGCCGGAGTCCTCAGCCACAAACTTTGCCCTGAATTCTCCAACAGCCTCTTCTTCGGCAGACTCAGAGACCCTGCTGACCTGCTCCCCAGACAAGCAGTGCATGTGAGCAGCTGGGACACCCCAGAAGGCAGGTTTCTCTATGGGGTTGTACCACTGTGGGAAGAAGCTGTAGAGCCTGCATGCAGTAATAAACCCCAACATCCTCAGCCCCCACCCGGCTGATTTTCAGTGTGAAATCAGTGCCTGACACACTGCCATTGAACCTGTCTGGGACTCCAGAGGCCCGGTTTGAAACAAAATAGATCAGGAGCTGTGGAGACTGGCCTGGCTTCTGCAGGGACCAATACAAATAGGTGTATCCATCACTGGACAAGAGGCTCTGACTAGACCTGCAGGAGATGGGGGTGGCTCTCCAAGGGTGACAGGCTGACAGGCCAGGAGAGTGAAGTCTGGGCCATCACAATATCCCCACTGGACCCTGAAATAATAACAGAGAAGTGCAAGGTTATATAGACACATTATGAGCAGCTTTCATGATTTCCGTTTTACAGTTACATATATTTTCAAGTTTTGATTTATATCATGAAAAGTAGACTTTCTAAAATGAGCCCATTATTTACAAGCCAGCAGGGAACTCTTTATTTTCAGGATCTTAATCAGAGGTCATTGTTCCTTGGAGGTGAATCCTGATTATTTGTAAGACAAAAATACGAATTCTCTTTCCTGGAACATAGACCATGTGCCTCTAACACATGGTTGAAATAAATATGGGAAGCTGCGGAGCACCCAGAACTCACCTTCTGACCCCATTTTCCCACGTCATATTTTTTCTGTCTTTACCAGTGAGCCAGAGCATTAGCCGCCCCAGGAGCTGAGCAGAGAGCCTCATTGTGAGAAGGTGAACTGAGGAGTCCTGGTCTGTCAAGGCAAGGTTACAGCTGAGCTTTTACCTCCTCCCCTAGGGCACAATATGCAAATCACCTGGTGGGTGCAGCAGTGTGGAAAGGGTCAATGGTGGAGGGGTATGTCTCTACTGTAAACAATGTGATATAAAATGTCCGTTGGAGTAAAACAAACATAGTTCAAGTCAAGCATGCCTGTAGCAGGCAAGGACAGGACACACTAGAATCTCCTCCCAGTGACGTGACTGAGCATCCCTGCAGCCATGAGGACAGCAGGAAACTTTAGTGGCTGCTCCAGGGAGGATGTGGCAGCCAACACTGGAGGGTCTGTGGGGCTTGAACGCCCCAAGGAGTTAGGAAGGAAGAGGCTCTGGAAGGTGCCTTGGAGAGACCTGGCCCCTGTTCACACAGAAGAGGAGCATGCACCCATGACTGAGGCCTCATGTCCTCTTCCTCAAAGACTCTCCAGGCAACTGCCTGAGCCCACCTGACTCTACCCTCTGTGGACACATTCCCTGACACCACAACCTCTCCTTCCACACGGAGAGGCTGAGCTTCCTTGAGAGCTTTGTGTTTGGGGCCGTCACACTGTGCAGGGTCCCAATGAGCGTCCTGCTCACAGGAGGATGTGCAACATCTCCAGGTTCCAAAGTAGTGTTTGTGATGGTGAAATCCCTTGAATTTTGGTTAGATGTGAGTCCCCACTTGTGAATACCTTCTACAGACATGTCATTCTTTGTTTTGCAAAATATTTTCTATAAAACATCCTTTCTTTGTTTTTGAACTTTTTTTTGGTTAGGAATATAATTTTAATTGCACTACCTTTAGTCTCCACACTGGTGATTGTGGGAGTGAAATCGATAGATTTTGGGTTGGATGTGTGTTCTCACTCATGAATGGAAAAGTAAAGACTTGTCATTCTTTGTATGTGTGACAAATTCCTTGCTGTATTCCATGATTTCCTTTGTTTTGACATTTCTGCTTGGAAATACAATTTTAAATTCATTCACAATGGGATCCATCATCTTAGAATAGACGATAATTTCTGATGTGATTCATTTCTTAACCAGAAAAAAAGATATTTTGTCCTTTTGATACAAACATTACTTTAATCATATCACCTCATGACAGGTAACTGACATGCTCATGAAAAATTCATAAATATTTTTGGAGCATTATTTTAAGTGACTCTATGCAAATCATACATTTTTCTATACCATTACTGTTAGAATATGGGAAATCAGATTTATTTTTAGGTAATGACCACATTGTGTAAAAATAATACATTTACTTATTTCAAAATCTTTTATTGATTTTTATGGCAACTTAATATAAAAATTGTCATTTATCAAAACCTGCTGGATTACATCCTGCCTGGCCTTCTGCTCAGCATGTCAGTGGTCGTGACATCTCCCAGACCCAAACAGTGGTCTCTGCTAGACCTCCTCGAAGGATAGAATAAGTTTCAGAAGCTCTGCTTGGCTGCTGTGATTTGACTTGGACTGAGTGACATGACTTCAGGTCTCCTTGTACAAGGACTTCATTAAACCTTTGGTGATTATAGAAGTAAAGCCCTACTCACTACATTACTTTCCTGTGAAACTCCCAATGTCACAGGCTTCACCCAGGAAGCCAGGCAGCAGTGCCTTCAACTCTATGGTTCTTCACAAGTAACATATTTGGCCTCTTTTTGGATCCACATCATCAACTACCATATCCACCACTATCCACATCCCATCCACCATAATCAAGGGCAGTTTAATTGAACAGTAGCTGACCTCTCCTCTGTTCTTTTGATGTTCCCATTCCTGCAGTCTGCCCAATCTCAAATTCTGAACTTTGGAAAATAAAACAGTTTACATCATCCTGTATTTTCTCAGTGATCCATGGAAAATACGACATTTTTAGTATATTGCGTCTTCCAGCATATGCATTTTATTTTTAAAACCAACTTTTGAAATGTTATTAACTCCCTTTTTCTATCAGCAAGAGGTAATTGTAATCAAAGGATTTTAGTATTGGGAACTTGTGTCTGCTATGAAATTACAAAATATATTTAACACTCACAACCTTGATGTTACTGACTGTCGTCAGCCAATTCCCCCTGAGGAGAACTAGTGGAGAATCCTGTCTCTACTGTCTCATGGAGTGGAAGAGAATGGTAAATAGAAGAAGCAGGGATTTAGAAAGTGGGAAATGCCAATGTTACATATAACCAAATATTTTCTTTAAAATGTACCCCAAACTGTTAAACCCTAAGATGTATTCGACATGTTTTGCCAGAGATGATCAATTGTCTGGCTGTTTTGCTCAATAAATTTAAACAAATGCAGGCAAGGAAGCAGGATTCAGATGAGCTTCCATTCTCCTTGCCCTTTCCTCCCAATTTTTTACTCACAGGGCCCTAGAACCTCCTCATTCTCCAGTCGCTTATGAGAGTCAAGGCTGTGGCAGGAGACAAGAACATAAACAGGGCACTGACCTGGCACAATGGCTAACACTGGACTCTCAGCACGTGGGGAGGCCAAGCCAGGTGGGTGGCTTGAACCCATGAGTCTGGGAACAGGCTGGGCAACATGGTGAAGCACCGACTCTACAAAAAAAAAATAGAAAAATTAGCCATGCTTGTTGGCATGCCCCTGTCGTCCCAGGCAGAGTTCTCAGCAGCAAACTCTGCCCTGAATTCTCCAACAGCCTCTTGTTCTGCAGATTCAGAGACCCTGCTGAACTGTTCCCCAGAGAAGCAGCACATGTGAGCAGCTGGGACACCCCAGCAGGGAGGTTTCTGTTCGGGGCTGTACCACTGTGGGAGGAAACTCTAGAGCTTGCATGCAGTAATAAACCCCAACATCCTCAGCCTCCACTCTGCTGATTTTCAGTGTGAAATCAGTGTCTGACCCACTGCCACTGAACCTGTCTGGGACTCCAGAGGCCCGGTTGGAAACCTCATAAATCAAGAGCTGTGGAGACTGGCCTGGCTTCTGCAGGTACCAATCCAAATAGGTGTTTCCATCCTCACTATCCAAGAGGCTCTGACTAGACCTGCAGGAGATGGAGGCCGGCTCTCCAAGGGTGACAGGCAGGGAGAGTGGAGTCTGGGTCATCACAATGTCCCCACTGGATCCTGAAATAATAACAGAGAAGCACAAGGGTATATAGACACATTTTGACCAAGGTTCCTGATTTCCCTTAAGATATTGATTTACAGTTACATATATTTTCAAGTTTGGATTTATATCATAAAAAGTAAACTTTCTAAAATGAACCCATTATTTACTAGCCAGCAGGGAACTCTTTATTTTCAAGACCTTAACCAGAGCCCTGGTCATTGTTCCTGGGAGGTGACTCATGCTTATTCCTGAGACAAAAATATGAATTCTTTTTCCTGGAGCATAGACCATGTGCCTCTAACACATTGTTGAAATAAATATATGAAGGTGTGGAGCCCAGAACTCACCTTCCCACCCCATTTTCCCACCTCATTTTAATCCTCTCCTTACCAGGGAGCCAGAGCATTAGCAGCCCCAGGAGCTGAGCAGGGAGCCTCATTGTGAGAAGGTGACCTGAGGAGTCCTGATCAGTCAAGGCAAGGTTAGTGCTGAGCTTTTATCTCACACTCACAATGGAGGGACCTTTTTAGGGGACAATATGCAAATCACCTGGTGGGTGCAGCAGTGTGAAAAGGGTCAGTGGTGTAGAGCGGGGATGTCTCTTCCATGAACAATGTGACATAAAATGTTCGTTGGAGCAAAACAAACATAGTTCAAGTCAAGTTTGACTGTGGTCAAGGGAAGAAGGCTCTGATTGTGCAAGTTGGGACCTTGAGCAGGGACACATTGTGCAGAGCATGCCACACTGAGAAAGTACAAGGACCCTGACAGTGTGGAAATGTGTTTCCAGGATGCATCTCTGGGAGGTGAATGCCATCCTGCATGACTCCCTCCAGTCAATCTAGAGAAGAAAACAGCCCCGTTTCCACAAGCACTGACGGGCAGAGGACCTGCAAATGAAAAGTGCTCCTGAGCCAGTTCAAGTGTTGCCTGGTATCCGCTGTTTCCAGGGTAACTGGTGAAGATGATTCAATGAAAGTGTTAGAATCTCCCCTTCCCTGGCACCTGGTAAGTAGGCCCCAAAAATGCGCTATGGCCAAGGGCCTCACAGGGAGAATGATGTGGGTCTCTACATTTAGAGTCAAGAGCCCAGTGTAAGCAAGAGGAAATGGGGCAAGAATTTTATGCCTCAGGCAGTGAATATAAAATTCCTGGTGACCAACTGTTCAATCTGTGATATATCCCATCATAATCATCTCACATGTACAAGATTAACCAGCAGGATCTCATAGGGAAGAATTTCCTCAGTTAATGATACAGAACAAATAAGAAATGACATTGCATGATGTTTTTCTGAGTGGTGTTTAGGAAAACTCTTCTCACACAGTCTCCCTGGTCATGTGGGATCAGATCCTATCATGGCTTCCAGGTTCTTGCCAACTCTGAGTGAGACCTGAGTCTCCCCCAGCCTGGATGTGGTGCAGTCACAGCCGTGAGTCTGCAGTTGAGAAGGAAATTGTCTACGTGAGAAGAGCAAGGACTGCATCTACAGTTTTATGTCTCAGGGTAACCTGAACCTGTAACTGACATTTTCATGGTTTCATGTAAAGATGCGCACAGCTCAGGGATGTGAGTCTGCCCCACAGCGGATCATTACAAACGGTAACAATCTCATGTTTCTTCATTTTTTAGTGATGTGCTTATTATTTAATTGAACAGCTCCTGAATAATGGTGCTGATACCAAACACCATCACGAGGACAGTCACATTTCTGGAAAACAAAATCCAGAACAACTGAAAGATTAGCTTGTAGTGCTGTGTAATCTTGGGTAGTTTAACTGAAATTCATATTTGATTGCCCAAGAACACATGAAATTCTAGGTAAGATTCCAGAGGAAAGCTTGGTTTCAATATCTACTGGGAAATCTACCAAAATAATCTTTTTTCCAAGATTGGAAAAGTTAATTGAATAAAAATAAAATTGACCTTTAAATATTTAACTCCATTGCAATAATGTGGGTTAAGGAGATCAAATTGTACTTAAGAAATTCAATTAGAATAAAGGCTCACAGTAAGCCGTAGTTAAACTATTTCAATTTTATTTACTCTTTTCTCATTAAATTTAGTAAGTTTTGCATATCTGACTTTTTCTTTTCTTATGTTATTAACCAATTTGAATCTCCTTAGTCTTCAAAAGTCAGACTCCTAGTTAATCACAATATTGAAAAAAGAAACATCAGAGGCTGAAGGAAAAGAAAAAGGAAACACAAAACACAATCAGCCTAACTAAAATAGAACAAGATGGTGCATCATATTCCAAGTTTTAAATAATTATTCAGAAAGGGTGTTAAATAAAGAATCAGTTCTATCCATTATGTAATATAAAAACTTGAATGGCAGGGAAGTGACTAACAGGAAAAAAAAATTTGTCATGTTTTCTTTTACTAAAAGTCAATTCTTGAAAATGTTGTTTTTGCAAAGTATTCTTTGAGATGCTTGAATTTAAGATATCCTTCCTATTTCCTATGAAACTTAATAATAAATTGTTAAGAAGTCTACAAGTGTGATTTTAAAGAATCTCATAATCTGTTGCCTTATATAGTTATAAATTGTGAAATCTTGTAAAAATATTTTCAATCAGAAAAGGACTTTGAAATTACTCTATATTACCTCTAGACTTAAAGAATAATATTTCTAATTCTGATTAGAAACCTCCCTCTCTTATCTGCTGACACATTATGCCAAGGCTTTGACAACAGCAGACAAAGCTGGTCACTCCACAGTGGACACGGATCAGAAGGTGTCACAGCTACCTCCATTCAGATCTAGGTGTGCAGCAGGCCTCTGCCTCTGTGTGTCTCTAACATGAACCACGGTCACCTGAATGAGGGAGGACTTATGCAGGTGGGGTTTATTATGGATGTGTCTCCTGTTTCGGATGCGGTTAGTTTGGGGTCCACAGAATTGGGAGCAACTGTATTATTCATAAGACTTGGGAAGAGAGTCTTAGAAGTGAAATTGTTTGTGTTCATGACCCTGGAGTCAGTGTTTGGGGTGGACACTGTGATCTAATTTGTAGGGGATTGGAAAGACTTGCGGCCTGAGCAAGGAAAAGAGATGGCCACGGGGCGGGGAGAGGGGGCAGTCGCACACATGACTTTATTGGGTGAGACTTTCACAGGTTTGCAGAGACAAGTCCCTCCCAGCAGGAATCTGTGCAGAGAATAAGGTGCCAGGGTTGCTTCTCAAAACGATGGGACATTGGACAAGGGGCTGTGTGTCTGGGGGACGCCACAAAGCAGCACAGTGGGGAGTTTCTGGTTTAAAGTTTTCATAACTGGGGTTTATCTTATTGCTAGCAGATGTAGTTGAAATTTTTTGGACATGAAAAGTAAGTATTTTCTGAAAACGCTAAAAATATTCATCTTTGGGCTGTTTTTAAAACAATTGCATCATAAAATTTGAGCTTGAAAGAGGCCATTAAGAAGTGAACACAGTTTTGAAATACACAACATAGGGGACAGGATGGACACATAGATCGTCTTTAGCTCATTTATATATAGCACTGTTTCCAATTCTGTAGACTCTGTTCTACAGACTGTATTAGTCCAAATTGTCCAAACCAACACTACCACGGATGAGGCTGAGAAACACAGAGACCTGTTCCCCACCTGGGGCGCCATGAAGGTTCTTTTTGATTGAAGGAGAGAGTTTCTCTTTGGTTGAGAATCAAGACCAAGCCACTCACTGAGCATCCCTTGGTGAAGTTGCAGGTCCTGTGACTGGATTCCTGGCTGCAAGGCACCTGTGGTTGAAGCTGTCTGTATGATCTCACCACCTGTAAATTGTCACTCAATGGAGCATCGATTCACAGATAAATACTCTGGAACACAGAGAGCTCAGGGAATGAAGGCTCCGTGAATGTGTATCTTCTGCTTCTGAGAATCCATCTCTCCAGCACTGGAAGAAACAGGGTTGTTTGTATGTTGCACCTTCAGGCCCTGTTCTAGACCTCTCTAAGTTGAACCTCTAATGTTTGAGTTATTGTTCTTTACTTTTTCTTGGAAAAAATGTTTGGAAATCCTATAAAACTATACCCACAGCTGTGGGATTAAGTGGTGAGCCTTGCCTCTGTTCTTGTTAGTGTTTTTGCAGAGCCCACCTCACCTACCAACAAACTGCACAAAGTGAAGCAATGATTCTGTTTCCTTCCTGAGCATTCTGTGTCATCACTTCAATCTCTGTCTCTGTCTTCAATTCGACTTCTCTTCTGCAGGCTTTGTTAAAATGTCTGCCTATCTCTATCTTATAAGGACAATCGTGATATCCTTATAAGATAGAGATAGGCAGACATTTAACAAAGACTTTTTATTGACCCAACTGGGCCAGGGCCCACTTGGTCAATACAGGATAATCTGCCCATTTCATTAATGCCCTTAATTTACATGTTCAATTACATTCTGATGAGAAAGCAAAATGGGCTAAAAATGTCATCTTCAAGGAAACATTCATGTTTAATGCACAGAAACTGAAGATGAAGCCTGAGTTCTCCTTCCTCATGAGAGAGTTGGAAAAGCAGGAGGAAGAGGAGCAAAGCTGGGTCCCCATGTCCACGAGGGCCTCCTGAGGCTGCTCCTGCTCAGAGAGTGGGGAAGGCGGATGAGTCAGCTTGCGCTGCCACACCAAAAACACTGGACTGGATGGCATAAACCACAGCATTTAATTTCCACATTTCTGGTGCCTGGAATATTGCAGATCGATGTCCAGCAGGGTTTGTTTTCTGGTAAAGACGTTCTTCCTCGTTTGCAGATGCCACCTTCTCACCATGTCTTCACACAGTCTTTCCATAGAACAGAAGGCTGTTAGAGAGAGAGAGAGAGGAAAATGGAGAGCTCTACGGATCTTATAAAAACATGAATCCTGCTGGATCAGAGACTCCCCATTATGACCTCAATTACATCTTTAGAGGTCCTAATTTCTACAGTCACATTAAAATTAGGGTTTCAACGTGAATCTGAGGACACAATTGAGTCCATAGTAGGTGGGACACAGCCAAGGCTGTGCTTCCGGTCTCAGAGCACGGGGCAGGTTCCCACAACTCAGCACACGGGTGGTTCCTCCCAGGTGCCATGGTCACGGGGAAAATTTGACTCTAACTCTAGGGCTCCCTGTTGATAATAGGACACCAGCACTCCTACTTTCCCAGTGTCCCTGAGACCATGGCGTTGTCTTTTGTTTATTGTGGAGTGTGTTTGCCATCTTCAGGCAGGTCTTTGACATAGCAACTTACAGGATATTTGATTCTGTGATTATGAAAATTAATTATTGATTAATTAATCATGAATAATAAATTAAGAGATACATTTATTCAGAAAAGAGGAGGGACAAATGATGAGCTTAAAAGAAAACAGAATGTCTTAAGAAGACATATTCCTTCAAACAAGAACAGTTAGAGTCACAGATTTTTAAACAAATGACTTTTTAGCAGCAATTACGAAATAGTAAATGACAACTTCAAATAAGCTACCACATATATAAGT